TAGTGTTCATGACATTAAACCGTGGACTGTGGGGCTAGCAGAAGGGCCTTATTCTCTAAAATGTTCAAATATTACACAAAAACAAGTATATTCTATTATCTCTTTGTACTCTCGCAAATACCAAAACATTACCCCTCCTTACTAGAGGGAAGCAACGAGCCGTCACAAGACGTTTCCTTATAGTTTAGTGAGTTTCCCCCATCATAGACTTTGTCCCACGCAAAAACTGACCGTATTTCCTTAATAGTGAAAGAAAAGGTTGAGTAGCCCTTATGTGAACTTTGATAAAGTTGACATAACAAAACTCCTACAGTTTCATTTCTGTTTCTAATTGGCATACACAGCAGGGGCCACATAACAAAATATATATATTTACATACTATTTACATACTTTTAAATACTAAACCATTTTTTTAGTCTAAAAAAGGCTTCTTAAGGGTTTGTCAATTCTCACATTCGTTTCACATCCGACCTCCCAGTTCGTGGCAAATTAGCAAATGCAATTCTTATTCTCTGTGCAGATACGAGTTGTCTTAACTAGCTCAAATACCTTCTCAAGGTATCCCCCTTTTGTTTGAACTTAAGCCAAAAGTGAACAAACGGCACTGAATAGATGAAGAATGACATTTTTTGTGGTAAAGCTTCAGCATTCCTCTGACAAAGGAGAGATTATCTAAACATAAAGAGAGGCATTTGGAAGCAGCCCTCTGGCGAGGAGTTTTGTCAACATTTAGGTGCTCCTGTATCACTTGCTCACTCTCTCTTACTCTTATTCAGTCACTCTCTCTTCCTCACTCTCAGGCGCAAAGGAAGTATGCTTAGCATAGTTTGAATTTAGGTAGATACGGCCAAAAGTGTGTGTGTGTGCCTCTCCAACATCGGTGATCACCATCAATATATCTCTTGACAGAGTAATTAGGGGAAGCTTTCCTGCCTTTAGAGTTTGTCTGCTCTCACTGGCCATCTGTTTGTGCACCACACACCCCACCTCCACCTCCTACGTGCCGGACTAATATACACACCTATCTCAATCATTTAATAACGTAGAGAGTCCTCTTTTACATAAAGGGATTCTAAATGTATTTTATTGTAACATAGTCTTGTCATAGCTTCAGCATAACAGCGTTTTTTAGTAAGAGATTGATGTCCGGTGCATTAAGGCCGAGGTCAGGTATGTAGACAATTTGTCGTCATCAATCCAGTAATCATAATGTGATTACTCTATTAACCTATTCATAACGTGCTCTTTTGCTGCAAACCGGCAACGATTTGTGCTCACTTGTATCTGGCCATGAACTTTGTGTGACAGAGAAAGAAATGCAAACCGGTTACCTCCACTCTTGCCATGGCAACGGACGCGGCAAGAAAAGCGATCCTGTACCTGTGTATCTGTCTCCCTAATGGTCTGTGTGTTAGTGTAACAAGATCTGTAAAAACTCCCCTCAATGACATTTTAGATCCCCCACTGTAACTGACCTGGGCTGGGGAGTCACAAGTAGGATTTAGGTGAGTACTCAGCCTTCTCTCGGGTTCCTGTTCCCCTTTTCCTAATGAATTCCACCATACGACGACTTGAGATGAGGCCCTTTTTTCCACATGGCCAGGATATTATTTACTGTTCTATGAGCTGTTGAAGGTTTTCAAACTCATTAAGGAAAAAAAATAAAAAAAATAATCCTTTCCCCATATCATACGTGTTCTCTCTCTAAATAGAAGCTCTAACACATGTTATTCTTTTAACATGGCCTCGAGAAACGGTGATGTGTTTACATTTTTCTTTTTGGGAAGAACTCTACGGAGGGACCGTTGAAGCGTCCTGCATTGTAGCACCTGGCAGCCTCCGTGTGTCGGTCTGCACCACTTGGACCACTCCTAACTCTCCTATTCCCTCTGCTGGGAAAGGCAGATATTACACACCCCAAACGGAGGACAAAACACAGACTAGAGTAATTACTTGTTTTTGAAGTATGATCCCGGTATGTAGAGACGGAGATGACCCACAGCTGTGTTCTGGCTCAGTCCCAACCTGTCCAGGTGGGAGCCTCGCCAGCACCCCTCTGTATGAGATATCAATGACTTGCATGGTGTCAATCATCATTGCAAATGCCAAAGCCATTCTCACCAAATATTTTCAAGAAGTTGTTTTGCCCATCTGGTGGCAGAAGCAGCAGGCTTTTGAAAAAAAATAATAAGAGGGAAGATTTCCACACCAGCTTTTGGCTTGTTTTGCTTCAAGGCGAAGGATTTTCAATTTATCCAATAAATCACCTTGTAAACATCCAATTCTCCATTTATTTTTTATTTTTACACAGTTAGCTTTTAGTGTGTTTAGTGTATTAGGAGTGTAGATACGTTTATATTAATGAGTAAAAACGGGGGAAACGTGTACATAACCCTGTAATGATACATAATGCTCAGTGCACCAGCGATACAAATGTGAATAAACGTACAGTATTTATATTTTCAACCGACCAACATCGAAGAACATTGAGCATCAGTTGGCATTCTGCTCGATCGTTTTGCACCAGCACAAGCTTTAACTTTTGGTATTTGGGCCACAGCTTCCATAAGCTGTGACAAAGCATTGTTGTGACCAGTGCTGCACACTCCTGTAGAGGACCAGTTTGTCTCCTGGCTGCTTGTGTTGACTGTTTCCATAAAACCCAGCCTACTTTGCTGTTTGTGTTTTCCTTTTTTATATTGAATAGCACAACAGGCAGGTTCATTATGCGTGTGACTCATCCCACTAGCCCACACCCCCTCCCCATCTGCTGCTGTGCGCTGGAAAGGAGAGGGAACCGCCATTGATCACTTCTTCCCTCACACATGCACGCACACACCCCACCTTCAACGTCACTATCAATCGACATGTTTAATGTTTTCGTCGGGAGTAGCTTGCATTTCCTTTTTTGTCATTTTACATCTTCTCCCTGTCATTTGCTGACATCATGATACATCCCAGAGCAGGCATTTAGAAAATAAAAAGTGAAGCATAATCCAACCAATTATTCAAACAATCTCAGACAGTTCAGTCAGTGCAGTTTTGTTTTAGTAGCAGAGGCGGTCACGAATTCTACACAGAGATGTAACCGGACATGAGACGTTTTGTTGTGTGCAAGTCCCTGGATACAGCGGAGTTCACTGCTGCCGGATCATCACGATGTTGTGGCACAGTGGTTGGCAGGTCCTTGGACCTAGTTATTCAACCGTTAATACAAAGTGCATGCTATACAGTGCAAATCATAGGTCACCACAGCTGATTTTTCATTTTTCAATTATTGACAAATTCTCTACTGGAGAAACCAAATGGCTTTAATACTTTTTCAATAAAAACTATGACAGTTTTTTTTGCTGGCAGCTGTCAACTCATCAATGTAGCAAAATGCACCAAAACCACAGCACAAGAGAAGACGACATTAATCCATTCATTTATTTTTTATTTCAGAGGGCAAAAGTACAAAAGGGAAAACTGGAGGGTATTACGATTAATAAGTACACTCTTAGCCCGTCCCCTCTGCTGGTTGGAGAAGGATTGATCAGAATAGTTAATCTACACTTTAAGAGTTGGTCCATCAATGCTTGGCATTTTTCTAATGTATCACATTAGTACTGAAATACCAAACAGGCAGCCAAAGCGAATATTGAAATTAGGACCCTACCAAATGGTCGCAGCGCTGTATTATGGCCCCGGAAGGAAGGGTTCAGCTAGCACGTTGATTTCAGTAAGTATTACCGTTGCCATGAAGTCACCTAGTAATATAGCTGTCTTTTCCTCAGATTGTCATAAGAGTAAATTGTAACGGTAAAATTAGGTGATTGACATTCATTAAAATGATCAACTTTCTAAAGATAAACTCTCGGGTTACAGTGCTTCCTCATTGTGTCATTCCGTCATTGTGCCGGTTCCCCAAGCGGACAGCAAATAAGGACGGCCTCCACGTTGAGTATGCTTATGTTCACAACTAAATTGATCATAATACCAAATCCATTGAGTCTGCTGATTTTAGCTTGGTAGCTGATTATTGGATTGTTCACAATGAAGCTTTTCTTTTTCTAGAAGTAGCACATGAAGAGAAACTGCAATTTGTCTGTAAAGTGCTCCAAACTCTAGTATTTTGTTCTTTGGATGACTGGATATTTTACCTTCTCGGTGAAACATCTGCGATCTTCTTGGCTCGCGGCTTTAATCAGCTGGCACCAATTTGCCAATTTGCCTTTTGATCTGGGCTTCTGACGGGAAGCTGCAAAAGTGATTGGCAATTGAAAATTCCCGGTCAAAGCTCTATACACGGGAGCATTTTTTTGTTACATTTATTTTCCTCTGTTTTATGCTGATTAATACGGTCAACAATTTCTGGAAGGAAAAAGCGTGATGTGTTTCAGGGCTCCATGGTGATTGACTGTTGGCGTTGTCTGGTCTGGGAGTTGTACGTGTTTTTATCTTACTTTTTCTCAGTGTTCTTTCAGTTCATGACGATGGCTTAACAATGAATATATTGTATATCTGTGCTCCATTGCATTTAACTCGACCCTGTAGCGTTTTTTCTCGTTGCAAAGCGCCATGATTTTAACAGATCTCTCCCAAAATCCACGATGGAGAAAGAATAAAATGCCAAACAAGGCTTCAAAAGCACAGCCCACAATCCCATGGTTAACGTGTCTACGTCCCCTTCTTACACACAATCTTGGGTTGCCTCCAATCTCAGGTTAATTTAAGATTGAGAATTCTCCTTCAACAATTTGTCAATGACATTGTCAGCCATTTATGATACTGTTGAAAAAATTGGATCCAGATTTCAACCAAGTTAAACTTTAAATACTGAGATGAGACCAATTGAGAATATTCCGATATTCCGGAATATTCCGGTACAGTAGTTATAGTGCACCACTGTGAAATAAACAATAAACAACTAACAATGTGAAGAGAAGCTAATGATTAATTATGTATATGAGTCCTGGTGTGAGAAGAATGTGTTGTTTTCTTGCCTTCTTGCATGTAGGTGGTCCTGGACTTGACATTTGGAGGAGGTGGTCACACCAAAGCATTACTGAATATGGTTCATGACGTCACAGTCCTGGCCTTGGACCGAGATCCTGCAGCCATCTCTCTGGCCCGGCAGTTAGCCAAGGAACACTCGTAAGTGATTTATTGTGAAACATCAACTAGACCAAAACGCAAGCAAAAGCTTACGTTACAATCTGTCTCGACAAATGTTTATACTAAATAACTGTACCATACGTTTGTTTTGTTGCAGCTGACATCTTTACCATTCTGAGCAGTGTTTGATTTGTGGTCATTATTTCTTTAAACATACTGTAGGTGTGATTTAGTATTGCAGCTCTCCCTGTGTTTCTCACTTCTTGCATATTCTGAGCCCGATCAAATACTGCTCGCCAAGATACAGCCCCTGAGTTTCACCACCCAATCAAATCCATTCCTCCTTCTTAACTTAAAGCTTTACTCCCCCCCCACGCAAAGCTGGTGGGCCCGGCATGTCATTTGTCAGAGTAAGGGCCCACGCCTGCAGTGTGAAGGAGATGCTGCCTCCCACGGAGGATCTACAAGGAAGGAGGGGAGGGAGGGCGGCAAGTAGAGAGAAGCCCAGAGAAGTTAAAAAGTGGAGAGAGCAAAAGAAAATGAGAGAACAGGGAGACACGAGGACACTATGCCAGGGTGAGAGGGAGTGTGTGTGTGTGTGTGTGTGTGAGCAAGGCGCGGGAGGATGAAAATGAGATGTTCCTAAGACCGCGGCGTGGGAAGGAATCCTTTTACGTAGATTCTGGGGAAACCTCTCTCAAGGGAATCTGCCGGAGAGATTTGCCTGTGAGCAGGGAATGACAATTAAGAGAGAGAGAGAGAATGAGAACCTTGTATTCTGTCACCGGCAATATACCCCTGATGTAAACTCTTCCACGCCTACCCGTGATGCAAGTTGAGAGAAGCTAGAGAAATCTAGCAATTAACCAATATTATTGGGAGCCTGAGTAAAAGACCCGGGCTGCCTACGCACTGCATCCACGCAACAGGGCTAGAAGATTTTCTCTCTCCTCTGTTCTCCCATTTCTTGCGGAAAGTAAAACCGTATCAAAAGTTGAATAATTTTACCTCGTAACGTTTATTTAAAAGCATCAGCGAGTGAAAGTTACCTTCTGTTCAGAGATGTCTTTAATAGGATTTGTCTCCTGCAGGTTGAGCCTCACAATCTTTCAATCTCTGCTTTTCACCATTCCTGTTGTTGCTATGACTTCCCTGTTCTTGAAGCCACGCAGTAGTTGTGCCCACTATAAATGTTATGAATCTAAAAAGACACCAAGCATCATTGAAAAGCGCAGGCAAACATCGCCTCACCCCTAATTGCCCCCTGGGCAAAATGTAAAAGCCATGGGTTAAAAATGTAATGTAAGTCGCTTTGGATAAAAGCATCAGCTAAATGACCTGTAATGTAAAAATGTAATGTCTTTAGTTGAGATTAAGGGGAGGAACCGCATTTTCGGGGGGTATTTTGTTTTGTGGCACTGGCGAGTCTCATTCTAGACGACGTTGTATTGCAACGACATTTCACTCTGGGTTGAACATTTATGCAACCAGCTGCTGACCGACTGTGTCACGCACAATTTTTTTTCCACCATAGAAAGAAAAACCCAACCAAATGTCTTGGTCCATGCATGATTCAATACAGAACTCAAGTCGGCCATCCAAGGGAGGCTAGATTGCTGTATTTTTCAAACTGTCCACAATTATTTGCTGTTCACAAATAATGCCTTTCAGCCGGGAAATGAAGACAATAAAATGGAGACCGTCTTGCTGTGGGATCTCACCAGTCACTGCAGCAAATCGGCCCAGGGGCTTAAGCGGGCGCAGCAACGCTGTCGGAGCTGGTAAAGTGGAAAACCCGTATGAAAGCTTTTAACGGTTATTGATTCCTTTATTAAGGAGACAATGGCAAGGCCACCAACAAGAGAGCAGCCATAAGATTACAAAATTCACAATTTCTATAACACACATTAGGTCAACTGAAGGGAAATATTAGACAAAATGCATTTTTCTTCCTTTTCTACCTCTGTGGAATGTAGATATTTTCCTCACTTCTCAGCTGCTGAAAACAATCAATCGGCATCTTGTCTTGCTTGCAAGTAAAGGAACTGAGCGGGTCAATACAAGGGAATATTTCAGGCTTGATTTTTGAAAAGGCAGCATCGTGTTGAAAACACGAGCGCTCCAACTGAGTTTGCTTTGAAGGTTTCTGAGGTCTAAACTGAAGGGCAAATTCACAAAAGGGTTGCACAGCTTTTGTCGCACCAAAGCTGCAAAAATAGAACTGAAAGAAACCTTGTTATATCTCAAAGCCTCCTAATACCAAATAACCTCTCAGTGTTCCTTTGCTAGTTGCCCATATTTAAAAAGTTGAGCCCTAATATTCACTTGCTGTAACTGTGGAATTATTAGTCACCAGAGTTGTTGGTAAGTGTATTAAAAGACAGATGTGATATTTAGTACCAAATACGGTTCATTCCTGTTTAGGTTTAAGTTCCTTGACGGAAGTTTTGAGGAAGGCCTTCGCACCTCACTGGTCAGAACCTGTAGCTTGCTGTCTTACAATATCATTTTGCCACATTAATAATTGCATTTGGATGAGGAAATGTGATACATTGAGATATTTCCAAGATGTTCCTCATGGACAAGACCAAGTTTATGGAAGGAAATATTTTGCTAACAGAGGAAATTTTAAAGTCTAGTGAAATGTTATGCTTCATGAAAATTAAACAATGTTGAACTTGATGGTTTATTATTGATCCATTTAAAAATTAGTTCTAAGTTAGTTAGTTTTACCCATTCTTCACTAAATGAGGACGCTACAACGTAAATAGTTATATAGCAACATTTATTTTTGGCTGTTGGATCCACCATTGAACACACCATCCGCACGCTGTGATACAAAACCTGCAGCTCATCGGGTAATCTGGGCCTTTCTCCGCCCACTATATAGCACATTGCGAGTGAACGGACCTCCTTCTCTCTTTTTATCACGGATCCGCCAAAGTCAAAACACAAAAAAACAGAAATGCAGCAACAACGAAGTTGATGTGTTTTTTGGGCATCAGTGGTGGGTAAATGTGTGTATTGACTAGTGCGCTGTAGCAAAGCGTGAAGTACTCGTGCTGTGATACAGACTGAGATATTCCCTCTGCTGGTGCTGTGACTGCTTGAAATGATCCCAATGCCAATCAGTGTAATGTAGCAAAGAGTTTAACAACTGCTGGAATGGAATGTGAACGCTGAGTGAGTGAGTCCGAATGAGTCGGAGATGCAACGTCATCTTTGATTTCTTCCAGTAACTGTGATATTGCTGCTTCATCTGTAACACATAATTATTATAATATTGTGTTCGCTCAACTGAAAAAAGTGCGATCCTTGTGGCAAAAACCCATTCAGCTCGTCTCCTTGGCCTGCGTCGCCGTCTGGCTCGGATCACTGCTGCCACTTCACCAGGAGGCATATGAGAGGAAACCCGAGTTGTGGTTTACACCTGCTTTTAAGAGGCGGAGATTTTTTACCGGTGTGCTTTCACAGACAGTTTCTGTACATACCGCGGAATGTTTAATGAGGCACACTTTATGCGTCCCCTCCCATCTCTTTATGGGAAACTCAGTTTGTACGTACCTCGCCATGAAGTGGGCACAAAAGCGGTAGTACACAAGGCCCTGGGAGTTTTTGGAAGATCGTATTCAGTGATGGGTTAATCCACCGGTATGCCGGAACAACAAAAACTTTATGCATGATGTCAATGTTGGACTAAAAATAGCTCCGATCACTTAAGCAATTATGAGCCCACACTTGGACCTCAGCACATACACCACGGAAACTTGTCCTCTTTAATAATATAAGACCTTACGTAAGACACTGTGTCTACGCCACATAAAGAAGTTAATAATTTAGTAATGTTATATAACTGTTTTGCATATTTTTAAATCCTTCAGTAGCTTACAAAAACATGTTGGTGAAGAAGTTGCAGTGTCAGTGGAAGGTTCGTTCATTACCTGCGTGTGGGTGGACACAGCCTAAAGAATTTGAATTTCCCTGATCACATGATACGCCTAGATGGTTATGATACAGCTTCCTCCAAATAAAGCTGTGAGGTCCCGCTCAAGCTGCCCACAAAAGCGAGATAGTACATATTTCTATTCCCCAACACTATGAGGAAAGTATTCCGCAATTGTTTTCACACAGCCCCGACTTGTGTAACACTCATTGGAAAGCTGCCCACCATTCAACCTTCTGCTCCCCTGGCCATGCAGATGAGTCACTCGTTCACTGTAGGTCAGGGATGAGCTCTGATGAAGATTGCCAAAAAAATGCAATCCTCACTACCAGAGGGCTGCATTGAGACCATGTACTTTAGCTAGTAGAATGCTCCCTCTATTGATTGTAGCAACTTATATAATTTTTAACAAGTTTACTTGACAATTTAAAAAAAAAAGTTTTAATGCTTGTATTTATTTAGTAAGCCTACAACAAGCACAAAACCATAACATTTACGAGTGATGTACTGGTATTTCAGCGCAGCGGTGTTTCAAAAGTCATCAATCAATGGTGGTACAAAGTTTAACGCCAATACTGGGTACAACAATTAATATTCATGCTTGAAGGGAATTTCTCTTCTCGCCAGTAATTCCATGGCATATTTCAAACAAGCATACATTTATCTCAAAAGCCAAAGACCCTCACCCACAGGTGGATCAGTATAAAGTTGTGTCTCAATGAGATACTCCTGCTGCTGTGCAACGTTAATGAAGAACGTCATTTGTGGCTGCATGCATGGGGTAGAAAAGGGATCTTGAACTGCTGCATCAGTGTTGTCAGCTCTGTACTTGTATGTATCTTTCGTGCATCTCTTCACAGCCAAGAAAGTGTACCAAACTTTCAAGTTAAATTCCTTGAACAGGTCTTCCTGACGATGAAATGCCCTTATGTGCATAGTTGTCATATGCAAGGTAATATTTGATAGGAAGGCCTTGGCTGAGAAAACCTGTACCCTGCGTTTGGTACGGTGAACATTTGTACCATATTGAATGCTTTCCTCCGTGAACACAGAGATATCAGTGTGCAGCGGAGAAGAACCTCTTTCCAAGCCCTTC